GCCTAGACCCTTCATCAGAAAGGGTCTAGGCCCGAAACGTCAGCCTCTCTGCTCCTATGATGCTGCTTGGCCTGCTGTGTTCATCCAGCCCTGCACCTTGTTGTCTCGGATTCTCCAGCATCTGCAGTTCCTACTATCTCTAGAACACAATGTCTAATGTTTGGTGTGATTCCAAGACTGATCAGAACTGGCTGGACAATCCCATGTACTAGTCACAATTAGTTGTTGATTATCAGTCCAGCTTGCAGTGTGGCTCACTCGTATTTGCTAGAAGCTATGTACAGAGGGACCTTTCCTCTGCAGCCAAAAGGAACATGTCCAGGTATTGTGCCTTTTTTGAATTAAACAAATGAGCAGCAGACAGTGGTTCCCTGCTGTATTCTCCCTGGCAATATCTTGACCAACAGGAGATGACTTACTAACCAATCAGCTACCTTTTCCCATGTGGTGTAAATTCTCGCTCTCTTTGAAATATGACATTCTTGTGTGTATCCTAATGAATGTGAAGGTGAAGAGCTGTGACACCAGCTCTCTTCTTGAGAAATGCAAAGCCTTCTGTGCTACCTGCTGAATTAAGGCTGTTAGATCATTTTCTGGTCTCAGTGTTAGATTTGCATCCCTAAAATATAACGCTCCGTGAGGTAGGAAGTGAAACAAATGAATTGGGCCACTATCTGCCACCATTCCCCTGCCCCTCCATATTTCTGCTGGCAGCAGTAGCCCCAGAAACACTCCAGAGAACCAGTTCACAATTCTATAGGATTTGCAGCAGAAAGTGGGTCTGTTATGTCTTCAAGCCCAGTGTTATATTCTGAGTGGTGGCATGGTGGCTCAATGGTTAGCACTGCTGCCTCACAGCACTAGGGAACCAGGTTTGATTCTACCCTCAGGTGACTGTGTGGAGTTTGCACATTCTCTCCACCATCACCACAACTGTTCCTCTGTGGGTTTCCTCTGGGTGCTTTGGTTTCCTCCCACAGTCCAAAGATGTGCAGGCTGAATGGATTAGCCATGGGAAATTGTCTAGGGATGTGCAGACTGGGTAGATTAGCCATGGGTAATACAGGGTTAGTGGGATGCTGTTTGGAGTGGACTTGATGGACCAAATGGCCTGCTTCCACACTGTTCTATGATTCTGTGAGTGAATGTTGACACGATACTGTATTTGCCAACGAGAGGCGGAAGGGCTTGTGGGTTTGAAGTCACAGAGTCTTTGAGGCCCGTGACTAGAGCAACAGAACATCACTTCTGCAGAAACCCACAGTGCAGTGGAGGCTGATTACCAAATTCTGAATTGATGTGCGTGACATGGCAGACAGAGGGATCTTTTGAGTTCCTGCATGTGTTGTCACAGTGATCAAAAAACCCTTTTCATAATGTTAAGCACCTCGAGCGAATTTTTCCCTCTGTCTGGCGTGCTCCAAGGAGAAAAGTGACTTAATGTTGTGTGTACTCACTGAGCGATTATAGTACAAGCAGCCCTGGGTTCACTGGAAACATTTGCCGCCATCCAGACTGCTCTTGGCATGATTCCTGTGCCAATGTTTAATTTTTAATCAATGGCTAGGGCAGCATTCAGTTCCCATCCCTAACTGCCCTTGAACTGAATAGCTTCCTAAGCCATTTTAGAGGGCATTAAGAGCCAACCACATTGATGAGCAATTCCAGATTTTATTTGATTGAATTTAGATTCCACCAGCTGCCATGATAGGATTTGAACTCATGTCTTCAGAACCTGGGCCTGCTAGTTGAGGAGCGCTGCCTGGCACTAGGAGCGCCTGGGTATCAGTAAAATGTGCAGCAGAAGGATTCACAATTGATTCGTTGTGAGTGACTGTGCCTTTAGCATCAAGGAGCCCGAGTAGAACTGGAGTGAACAGGAATTGGGGAAAACTCTCCACTGGTTGGAGTTGCACCTGGCACGTAGGAAGGTGGTCGTGGTTGTTGGAGGCTGGTCATCTCAGTTCCAGGACTTCTCTGCAGGAGTTCCTTGGGGAATTTTTTTTAAAAAAATCAAGCTGTTCAGATGTGTTATGACGCACTCCTGGAGAGGGTGGGACTTGGAAACAGGCTTCGTGGCCCACCCTACCACTGCGCTACAAGAACCTCAGAGTTGATATGTTTTAACCAAACCGTACAAGCATGTTATGACACACTTCTGGAACATCTGGGACTTGAACTTGGACCAAAGGTTGGGACACTACCACTGGACCACAAGAGCCCTGGAGAGTTCCTCAGGTAGTGTGCTTGACCCAACCATCTTCAGCTGCTTCATCAATAATTCTGTCATAAGGTCGGAAGTGGGGAATGTTCGCCAACGATTGCACAATATTCAGCACCATTCGTGACTCCACAGATACTGAAGCAGTCCAAATGCAGCAAGACCTGGACAACATCCAAGAGAGAATCTAACCATTGCACCTTGACGTTCAGTGGCACTATCATCACTGAATCCCCCACTATTAACATCTTATTGCTGAATATCTGTCCTTCGTGTTATCATAGGCTAATCTCAGCAATGGTGACCATGACAACAATCGTCAATTATTTTAAAAACCCACTTGAACACCACAGATGTGTTTAAGAAGGGTTCAGAAAAGATTTACAAGGATGTTGTTGGGGTTGGAGTTACAGGGAGAGGCTGAATAGGCTGGAGCTATTTTCCCTGGAGCGTTGGAGGCTGAGGGGTGACCTTATAGCGGTTTATAAAATCATGAGGGGCATGGATAGGATGAATAGCCAAGATGTTTTTCCCAGGATAGGGGAGTCCAAAACTAGAGGGCATAGGTTTAAGGTGAGATGGGAAAGATTTAAAAGGGAAACCGAAAGAACTGCGGATGCTGTAAATCAGGAACAAAAATGTAAGTTGCTGGAAAAGCTCAGCATCTGTGAAGAAAAATCAGAGTTAACGTTTCAGGTCCGGTGACCCTTCCTCAGTTCTGAGGACAGATTTAAAAGGGGACCTGAGTAGCAACTTCTTCACACAGAGGGTGGTGCATGTATGGAATGAGCTGCCAGAGGAAGTGGTGGAGGCTGGTACAATGACAACATTTAAAAGGCATCTGGATGGGTATATGGACAGGAAGGGTTTAGAGGGATATGGGCCAAATGGGATTAGATTAATTTAGGATATCTGGTCAGCACGTAAGAGTTGGACCAAAGGGTCTGTTTCCATGCTGTACAGCTCTGTGACTCTATGTCCTTTAGGGAAGGAAATCTGCTGCCCTTACCCAGTCTGGCTTCTCGGTCACTCTGGATCCACTGCAATGCTGTTGATTCCTAACAGCTCTCTGAAATGCCTCAGTGGCAATTCAGAATGAGTGCCATAAGCCCCCCGCCTCCCAAGAAAGAATGAAGGAAAAGATTGGCAGTATGTGTGTCAGAACTTTGATATTGGTGATGTGTGATCTGAAAATTAGCAGAGGCCTCCTTACATGTGACATGTTTTGTTATCGAGATGGAAGCAGTATTTAAAGCTTTTCTCTGTGTGATTTCAGCCGGCCAGATACATCATTCTTGTGGTTCCGTTCTCCCTTGAAGGCGATGAGGCACATTGTCTGGCGCAAGTACAAGTGGTGGGTTGTCTGCACATTGCTTCTGGTGATACCAGTAATCTTCCTGGTAGCTCTCCTGCACGCTATTCCCGTAAGTATTCGGCAAGGGCTGAAATGTAAAGAGCCACATTCTGAATCCTGTGCTGAGACACCCAACAGTTTTCAGCACCTCAACACACCTGAGAGGCAAGAGAGACCGCCACTGTGGAAAGGGGAGCCCTGTGTCCCTGGGATCGAACTGTAACTGTTTGTTTGCATGGATAGGCAGGTTTCTCAGCTATGGTGAATGCCGGATAAAGGGCTCAAATGTAACGGTACCCTTATGTGATCACCAGCTAATGTCAGCCATATCCTGCTGCCCTTGGAAGCTCACACCATGCTACATTACATTAGTCTCAGCTCCAAAAGTCAGTGTACGGAAAGCTTTACTCTGTATCTAACCCTGTGCTGTCCCTGCCCTGAGAGTGTTTGATGGGGGGGACAGTGTAGAGGGAGCTTTACTCTGTTTCTAACCCTGTGCTGTCCCTTCCCTGGGAGTGTTTGATGGGGGGGGACAGTGTAGAGGAAGCTTTACTCTGTATCTAACCCCGTGCTGTCCCTGTTCTGGGAGTGTTTGATGGGGGACAGTGTAGAGAAATATTTATATCTAACCCCATTCTGCCCCAATCCTGGGGGTGTTTGATACGGACAGTGTAGAGGGAGCTTTACTCTGTCTGTAATCCCATGCTGTCCCTGTCCTGGAAGTGTTTGATGGGGACAGTGTACAGGGAGCTTTACTTTGTATCTAACCCCGTGCTGTCACTGCCCTGGGAGTGTTGGATGGGGACAGTGTAGAGAGAGCTTTACTCTGTATCTAACCCTGTGGTGTCCCTGTCCTGGGAGTGTTTGATGGTGAAAATGTAGAGAGAGCTTTACTCTGTATTTAACCCCGTGCTGTCCCTGTCCTGGGATGTGTTCAATGGAGTACAGAGTAGAAGGAGTTTTACTCTGTATCGAACCCCGTGCTGTCCCTGTCTTGGCTGTGTTTGATGACAGACAGTTAGCGGGAGCTTTACTCTGTACCTAACCCCATCCTGCGGGTGTTTGATAGGGGACAGTGTAGAAGGAGCTTTACTCTGTATCTAACCCAGTGCTGTCCCTGTCCTGGGAGTGTTTGATAGCAGACAGTGTAGAGGGAGCTTTGCTCTGTATCTAACCCCATGCTGTACCTGCCCTGGCCCACCCCTAGGTAAAAGCTTTAATATTTAAATTGGTAGAAGTGAAGGGATCAATGGATCAGTTACAGGCACGGGGGAAATTTAGTTTTTAAAATGATCCTTTTTCTAAAGGGTTCTGTGTTTCTCTTCCAAATGTCCGTCCGTGGTACCCAGAGACTGAACACTCTTTCCTGGGTTAGTAATTGCTGCATTTAGTTTTTTGTCTTTTGTTGCTCTATGATCAGTAAACTCAGATGTGCAATGATCAAGCATTAGTTTCAACTTAAGAATCTAAAGTTCGTCTGGTCCTAGTGCCTCGACACCAACGGCCTGGTATTAAATGGTGTGCAGTTAAAATGATTACCTGGTCTTGGTTTATGTTCTCTGCACTGTGGCTGCTGACACCTTACACTCTGTGTGAAATACCCATCCTATGCTGAGTCAGCTCACTTCAGCCAATGTAGTGCCAGGGAGACAGCATGTGCCAGTGTGAGGGAAGGTGGGCGATTGCCTTTGGGAATCTTTGTGAGGAAACATCAGACACCTCACCTTCTCGCATCCATTCTAGACTCTCACCTGACGATCCTAAGAAATAGGAGCAGGTGGAGGCCATTCAGTCCATCGAACCTGCTCCGTCATCAGAGTGGAGGATGGTCTATCTGATTATGGCCTCAACTGCACTTTCCTGCTTGCCACCCCCACTGTAACATAGCCTCCCTTGATGATCAATAATCAGTCAAACTCAGCAACATATTCAATGCCCTAGCCTCCGCATGGAAATGGATTCCAAAGACTGACCACCGTCTCAAGAGAGGAAAGACCTCCTCATCTCTGTCTTAGATGCGGGACACCTTGCTGTGCCTCCTGGTTCCCTCCCAACGAAAGAAAAGCATCCTCTCAGTACCCTGCTATCCCTCAGAAACTTCCAGAAGATGGTCTGTCATTCTTCCAGACAAGGCACTCGCAGCAGGTTCCTCACTGACTGCCCCTCGGAGCTGAGGGGAGAGAATTAATGCACCAACGTGCAAGCGAGAATAGACCGAGGACCCATGCCTATGAGTACTGCATGGGTAAAGGGGAGGGGGGGGGAGACTGTCGCTCCAGTTCCAGGTTCTAGTTGTCACTCCACCCTTCACTAGGCCAGTGACAAAGCTGTCACCAACCATGATGTTGCGGTTTTGGGGCTGTTTGCCTTGGATACTATGTGTTCTTTCCTCGAATTTGTTTTTTTAACAGAATGCTCTAGCAAACTTTTTGTTGCAGTCCACCAGATACCACAGGAAGAAAAAGTGACAGGAGAGAGAGAGAGAGGCCATCTGGACTCGGAAGGCATCCAGCCTCGTGGTCGAGGGTGGGGTGGGGGGTGCTCGGCACGGCAGGAACAGAAAGGGAGAAGCTCATTTCCACGCTGTGGTTCATTTTGGCGTTGACCATAGCTGGGCACATATGTGCCTCTGTGTGTATGTGTGTGTGTATACGTATGTGTGCTTGCATGTGTGTGTCAGAGACAGGACTCGAGAAGAGTAAAACAGAATCCCACGTTCGTACGTGAAACATTCCGGAGAAGGTGCGCCCGAACTAAAGAAAGAAAAGGTCTCCTTGAGTCCCGGCCTCCCGTCAATGAACCAAAACTTGAACTCTGTACGGAAGGCTTTGAGGAGTAAGGGTGTGGAAACTCGTAACGTGGGATTTCCAATTGCAGCCCATCCGAGATTTGTTTCCCATTTACTTGCATGTTTTTTTTTCCCTCAAAAAAAAAACTGTGTTTAAAGGGGATCTTTGTTTCTTTTTCCAAAGAATTTGTCACGATAACGTATAAAAGAATTTCTTTTTGTTTTTTTAATTGTTAAATATGTATCAGCCCACTGTAAATAAAATGCAAAGATACTCTTATTTAACAGACAATTTGTTTCTCTCTGGGGGCTGAGAGATTACAGGGAGAGAGACTGGAAGCTGATTGAAGGGTTCAGAAGTGTGTTTTTGTACAGTAATGGACACCCTCCAGCAAGTTACAGGCTGCATGGAATGCAGGCGTTTGGATGGTTTATACTTGGAATCTATAATGGGTACCACACGGCGGCAGTTTGATTGAGGAGTTCGGGGATTGAAGAATGGCTTTCAAGAGACGTCTGATGTTCAAAGAAGAGGTAAGGGGTCCTTTAATTGTCTTCTTAAGAGCTGTGATGAGAGGGGTAAGCAGCTGTGGGGGAGGGAGGTGGATGTCAAAGTTATTGAGCTCAACTCAAAATCTTAAGGCAGTTGTGCAAATCTCAAAGTGTACTTTTGTGGTTTTGACACTCCCAGGAATTACTACCCGAGAGAGGATGTTGTGATGTTAATGTAACACAGAATCCCATTAATGCTCTGGGGATACGGGTTCAAATGGCACCACAGCTGATGATGATGTTTGAACTCAACAACAAAAAAAAAAATTGGTTTTAAAAGCTGGTCTATGCCAACCATGTAACTAAGCTGTAAAGATGCATCTAGTTAGCAAGCCACTCAGTTGTACCAAACCACTACAAAGTCGAAGGAATGAAGTCAAGCAGACTGTCTGGCATCTTAACTCTGTATCTAACCCCGTGCTGTCCCTGTCCTGGGAGTGTTTGATGGGGGAAGAGTACAGACGGGGATTTAGTTTCATTTTAAACGAGCAGAAAGAACCTTACTTTCAGATTACAAGGGTAGATGAGGCTTTACTTTGTATCTAACTCCATACTTTCTCTGTACTGGGAGTGTTTGAGGACACTAATTTTTGTATAAAAGAGTGGAGAGAGCTTTATTTGCAGTTTAGGAATAGAAACCTTTACCCTGTATCTAACAGCGTGCCGTCGCTGTCCTGTAAATGTTTGGTGAGGACAGTGCAGAGAAAGCTTTACTTTCAATTTAAATGAGTAGAGGGAACTGACTCTGAATCTCACCCGTTACTGTCCCTGTACTGGAGTGTTTGATGGGGACAGTATGGAGGAAGCTTTACTCTGTATCTTAAAAAGCTTGTCGTCTCTGGCCTGGGAGTATTTGATGGAGACAGCATCGAGGAAAGTTCATGATGTATCTCACCCGGTTACTGTCCCTGTCCTGGCAGTGTTTGATGGGGACAGCATGGAGGAAGCTTTTCTCTATATCTTAAAACAATACTGTCCCTGTCCTCGGAGAATTTCACAGAAAATATTGGGGTGACTTATCTTCTGTTAAAATTTATTCTGTATCCAAATCTATGCTGTCTCTTGTCATGAAATTTTTGATTAGGACAACATAGAGGGAGCTTTCCTTTCAGTTTAAAAGAGTAAACTTTTCTTTGTCACAACAGTTCTGAGGAAGGGTCACCAGACCCGAAACGTTAACTCTGTTTTTTCCTTCACAGATGCTGCCAGACCTGCTGAGCTTTTCCAGCAACTTCTGGTTTTGTTCCTGATTCACAGTTCTTTAATTTTTTAAACTTTTCTTTGTGTCTCTTATCAGTGCTATATCTACCCAGGGAGTGCTTGATGTGAAGTCTGGCTTCTTCAAATGATAAATTTTATTGGCCAGCATCTTTTACAATAACATGTAGTGACCAAGAGAGACAGATGAAAAACAGATAGGGAAGCAGCATCTTTGTTTTTTTCTAGAAATTTCTTATGGGATTTATTTCACGATATTTAAACAGCAGCATGTGAGGACAGTGGTCTGATAACAGGTTCACCAACAAAAGCAGTCATCAATACTCCTGCCTGTCTAGATTTGCCGTTGGTCTGGTGTTTGGATCATTCCGAAGAGGTTTTTAAAAAAAAAGTTAGTCACCTCAGTATGTCCCAATCAAGTTCATATACTATTTAACTCGGAGCTGCACAGTCTGTTTAGACAGCTGCAGAGCTGATATTTGCTACTTTGTTTGATCCAAACACTTCTAAATCCATAGACTAAACAAAAATAGTACAGTGGTTATAAACACTTTAATGCTGACATTTGCATTTTCATCGATTCCAGTGACGAACTAGATATGAATCAACTCAACTGAAGTCGTCAATACCTTAGAGAGAAGCTTGCATTTTGCCCAACACCTTGTGAACGCGGCAATACAATAACCTGTTGGCTCAGTTTCCACTGTCTGCAGCCTATTTGCCGTTGTAAAACTGAAATATAATACTCAGCAAGGGACAGCCACTGTGGATGGGATTAAGGTCAACCCACCCTGCCTCCGTCTCCGCACCCTGTAACAAGTAGGAACTCCAGCTATGTTGTCACACATCTGTCTATAAGCAACTCACAAATCCCCTGACTCACTTGCTTTTACTTTGAAGCGAACAAATTTATGCCTTTATGTTCTGCCCATCAACCCCAAAGGAGGTCACTGAGTTCATTCGACAACAAAAGATGACACAACTGAGCACGCAGCGGCAGATTAGACTGGAGACTTGCACCTCAGAGTTAGCTGTGTTGGAAGAATCTGAGCTTACAGTCCCATTCCTTTGGGATAAATTTGCCGTTCTCAAACAGTTCTGCCTGCTCTCGGAGGATCCAGGCCACACAACCAGCACCTCAGAAAAAAAAGTGCTATCTGGTCATTATTGTTTTGTTGGTGTCGGGAGCTGGTGGAGAGCAAATTGGCTGCCACATCTGCGTTAAAAGGAACTGCATTTCAGTGCCTATCGAGTAACTTTGATTTTGTGAAATGCATTGCATAACATGCAAGATCCCATTTTTAGAATGTGTGAACTGCAACATCATTAATTGACAGATTACGGTTGTGAGAGGGAGGGATTACTTAACTATTGTAAAGGCAAATTTCCTTCAAAATACTGAGTGCATTTTGCTGCCTGTGGCGGTGATGGAACAGTCCATTGAGAGTGAATGAATTGTATTGCCATCAAGTTCAATATTGCAATACTCTACCTTCACTCATCCTCGAACGCACTCCATTTCACAACTGCACCCCTCAGCAATGCTGTCAAGCAGCAAATTGAGGCCCTCGTTCAGGCAGGTTTGTGTGCACGAACACCTCCTGAAGGGTCATACAATCCAGTTTCAAACGTGGCTCCCTCACTTTGTTTAGAACATTTGTAAGTACAGGAGTGCACACAAAAAAAAAGGATCAAAGTGCAGGTAAAATAAAGCTCTGACGAGAGAGAGAGAGAAACAGAGAAACAACGTCCCTCCTCTTCAGATGGCCAGCGACTAACTTTTTAAGAACTTAGTTTAAATACACATTGATTCTCTCTCAGCCCCTCATCCTCATGGTTTCACCTTAAGATTAAGGGCCATTGAACAAGAGGGCATGCAACCACAAGCTAACCCAACTGAAACCCAAAATACCCAACATACAAACACACAGATTGTCAAAACCCGACAGGTCCCAGCAGCTTAGTTTTAGTAGTTCAGGAATTTGCAGCCAGCCCACTGCCCCGACAAGGCAAGGGCTCAGCTAAAGATAGTACTTTATAAGGTACGCAGCCCCAGCACTGTCCAAACACCCCAACCTCACAAGGGTGAGCTCACCTTTACGGCCTGACGCCAACGAGGTGTACAAATCCAATCAACACAGCAGTACCATTCTGCACAATGAGTGTAAGATTCACAGGGAAAAGAAAAGCAAGCAGCTTTTCTCTGACAGTTGCGCTTTCGATGCAAACTGATTCAAAAAAGGAAGTGAACTAAGGCATTATTAGCGCTCTTACACAAACAAATCACCAACTGTCCCAAAATCCCCCTTCCTATCCTCTTCCAAAATCAAAAGGCTGTGCATCTTCACAAAAGTGTAAAACACAACTGAAATTTTAAACAACTCACACTCTGTACAAACAGCAACTAAACCCTCAGTGATCTATAAAAGTAAAAAAGGGGAATAGTTCGCAAGATGATATTCTTCCTCAATTTAACTTTTGTTTTTGAGGTGACTTGTGACTAACTTGCAAACATGTGCTTTAACTCTGCAACAGCCACAGTCTTGTCTGGAGGAACACTGCAAGATTATTTGAAAGTTAGGGAAGTGGGATCGCGAAGACTAGTTATAGCATCCTTACACACACACACACATACAGGAAAGACATTTTAGATATATCAGACGTGTCTGGAAAGAGGGATGAAAACAGAAACAATAAAACTTTCACCTCTTGGGTTTTCTTCTTGCTGAAACCTCTTGCGATAAAGGTGATTTTTTTTTTGCCGATCACTGATCGCAAGTCAGTCCCATGATCTCAGCTAGCAGTAAACTAGTTCCAATACTGTTTCTAATCTGTCCTCAGTACAGTTGGAAACAAGATCAAAGAATCACAGTTGGCGATGATCCCAAGAGACCCGAGATGAGGAAGATAAACCTGTGCTGTGTTCAATCTCCCCCTTCTCCCCAAAGCTGGAGCCTGAAACGTCGCTTCCCCCAGCTGGGCCTCAGTAGAAACGCTTCCGGCTCTGTTCTTGCCACTTCTGGAACACGATGATGCCGATCACAGCCAGCACCATCAGGCCAACGAGGGAGAAGAAAACGATGAAGAACAGGGTTAAACCACTCATCGGCTCGTAATCCAGGTCATCTGCTTACAGGAGAAAGAAGACCCACGATAGAAATAAAATGACTGTGAAACAACTAAAACCAAAGTGCTGGAGATCTGAAATTTAAAAAAAAGAATGCAGGGGACATTCAGCAGTTCTGGCAGAGAGAGAAACAGGTAAGTGTTTTGAGTCCAGCATTACTCCTCCAGAACTCAAAGCAACTTTGAAACAAGAGACTTACATGGGGAGGGGTTGTCAGTAGTTGGTTTGTATACAACCGACAGCTCAATCCCTTATGCAATGTTTACCATCACTTTCAAACCCCTCAATGGCCTTGACCCTCCCTCTGCCTCTTTCCCATTCTGGGCATCTTCTCTATCCTCCTCAGCCGCTGCTCCATCACTGGCACCAGAGCTTTCAGCTTCTGGGAGTCAAAGCTCCGGTAACTCAATCCCAAAAATCTCTCACAGCTCTTTAAAACCCTCTGTAAACCAAACATCCCAATACCTGTCCGGTTATTGTGTGTGGCTCAGTACCAATCTGCTTTACTAAAGGTACTATGGAAACGCAAGTTGTTGCTGTTGTTGCAGGGACTGGCAAAGTGGAATTAAACTTGCCTTTTTCTGGATGGCTGGGTCATCAATCATTGGGCTTTCAATTAATCCTCAGCTTTCAACTCATTTTGATGAAATAAGGGGCAGA